CTATATTTCTACTATTAGTAAACCCACTGTATCAACTCCTTTCCCATCAATCAAGTATCAGCCTCACTGTGGAAACCCTTTCACTGTTCGGTCACAGAAACTTTTGTACGGCAACACATGTTCCTTTCCGCAGTTGGAAGCCACTGGTGCTCCTTCCTGTTGGAGAAAAGTAAGGGAACCAACTCCAATCACTTGAACGAACAACTGGCGACGGCTTTTAATAAATCGATTTAAATTTCTGATCATAGTTTCATCTCTGGAGAAATTTAATAGTTTTTCGCAATAACATTTTATGTGCGGACGCATACCCAGGACGCAGGATCTCCACATCATCCACTCACTGTGGGAGTTCAAAAAGAAACAGTTCAAAAAAAATAATTGTTAAATTGAATAAACAAATATTAAGTATTGGGAAAAATTTTAAATTATAGTTTTAATTGGAAAAAGAAGAAAGTTGTAAAACAACTTCATAATGAATTAAAACTTATTATATAAAGAAAAAGAATAAAGAAATAAAAAATATTTTGTTGAGTATGAAAATAAAGAAATAAAGAAAGTTTGAATATAAATAGGGAACTTGTTCATAAATGAAAAAGAATATTTTGTTTACATAAAACATGAAACAGCTGTTTTTAATAGAGTTGTTTCTGAAATATTCATAAATTTTAATAATTAACTCTAGACTAAGGGCAGGAAACATTTACTAAGCAATAACTTAGATTCTTACATTTTTGAAAATGGATTATCTAATTTACTTTCATGTGCATCACCTTTACCTCAATTTTTTTTAGTGCACCACTGGAAACCCAGCGAAACTAGCGAAAACTACCCAACTAAATAATAAGAGCGGTAACAAACTTGGAACCCGGCACGTTGGCCAAGTCCAAACAAAGAAACTGTAAAGTTTACGGGTCACACGATGTGCCAGGAGCTCTACGGGGAAACCCCTTTTCTGCTCTCTCTCCCTCTCACTCTCTCTCTCTGTCTTTCTCCATTCTGGAGGACAATGGCGTCGCTGCAGCTTCCTGTGCATGCAATAAAATTACTTTAGCCCCATAAGTATGCTACAATTTTACGTACGAGCTCCCAGCTTTTGGTCGCAAGTGCTGCAAATAGTTTTGCCGCCACGCCCCTTGGACCCCAGAAACCTTCTCTCCTTTCTCCCTTTCTCACTGTCTTTCTTACATTTCTCTGTTCTCTGTATCCCTCGTCCGAGACACACATCATAATTAATGCAAAGCTGGCAAATGTATGCAACACCTGCGGTTTGTTTAAACGACCACAAGAATCCCCACTGCAAAGTCCTTCACACACACATAGACATAGTCGCTAGTATTATATATATTTTGCAGCCAATTTTGGTTATGAAAATATTGGCCAAGTCTTTAGAATTTATGTTATTTAATTGCAGGAGATTTGAAGTATCATTTTGTAACTTTTTAAATCATGCAAGGATTCACGAAGATGTTAATTAAAAAGAAAATTTATAACAAAACCGATTTGTATAAAGATTCACATAGGAAGTTATTAATTTTTAATTTATTTATATAAATTAAGCCCTAAATTAGTTATAAAAATAGAGTTATATGTTTTTTTTTTTATGGGTGGAGTCTGAGGTTTAGAATATATAAAATAAAACCTACATATGATATTAATTAATGTTTACAAAAATAATAACATATTAATTGTTAGGCATTCGTTTTAGTATCGTAGCATGCCTTGTCTATAGTGTTCAAGGTCTGCCTCGATTTCATTTTCAACTTTGTTGACGAAATCCTGTAAAGATGTCAGAAAACTTTAAATTTAGTGATGTTTTTAACAGCCGGACGTTGCGGGACGCGCTAATGTAAGTAATCCTTAAGATCCTTGATATTCTAGAGTACTTTGACAGTATAAGTTGCTCTGCAGGTAGCCAAGGCTACCTATGTGTCCATGGGTGCGATCTACGTCCTGATGAAGATGCAAAAGAATAAAGCAAAGCGCCTTGATGCCAAGAACTACTGCAAGGGATGCCAGCAGCTGATGCCGCCAAGCTAAGAGGTGTAATAGGGATCATCTTTCATTTATTAAGATCACTAATATCAGTTTACAAAATCTAATGGTTTTAACACATGCATAAACATATTGTTATTATAATATCAAATACATCTAAATCAAGATCATTAAAAAGTTGAATTTTTGGACTGGGGACTTTCTTCCCCTTTAAATTACGATCCTTTACAATTTTAACTAGGCCTTCCGATTAACTCTCGTTTCTTTTTATTTCATTACAGTCTATAACCTTTTCGATTCAACCAATAAAATTTCAATTTCATTGTAATCATTTCAATACGCTTCGCTTTTCAATTTGAATGCCCGAGGGTCAATAAAATTAGTTTTTCAATTTACTCGGACATATTTTTGCGGTCAGTTGAACAGAACCATATCCCGAAAAACCCTTATAGGCAAGGGACCCCAATACCAACTTCATTTCATTGGCCAACAGCCGTTGATGTGATGACGACACAAGTTGTTTGCGGTTAAGTATTTCTGTCGCATCATGCGACTCCTGCCTTTGGAGGGTTAACTATAATTAACCAGTATAGCTCTCACATTCCCGCCAATTGCCAATTGTTTTTTATATACTAAATACATATATATATATTGGACCCTTTTCTGTTCTGCTGTTATACACTAATTAATGGTCTTTTGTTTTTTAGTTGACATGCAAATGAGTTGCTTGTTCCGAGGCATTGAGTTGTTGTCCTCCACATGTCAATTAAGTTGGTATCGATGTCACAGAAGAATAAGGCTTTTGATGAGACTGTAAATTGAAGGTTTTTGAATTATTTCAATACTTGTGATGACATCATTTGTGGTTTTTATGTTTAGAGTTAACTATGAGTAAGAAGTAAGGATGTTTAAGGTTAATTAAAAATAAAAGACTTTTCTATCTAACAAGGATACTTTTCCTCTCGCTTCAAGGCTATGTAATTTAAGATTGCAACCATAATAATTTAAATGCGACTAAAAAAATCTATTCCAACGCCTTTGGCTTAAAATAAAAGAGTAATAGAGGAAAAGACTTTCCCAGAAAATCAACCCATTCCACATACAGACTCCACAGCTCAACGGTGGGCCAGCAAATGAAACCCGACATCGATTTTGTTCTCAAGTTACACTCGCTTTTGTTTACACAAAAATTATGTTTAATGAGCAGCAACCCCGAACTTCATGACCCCAAAAGCATCTTTTCGGGTTGGCAACTGACAATTATAATTACAAGGTCTTAAGTTTTTCGTGAAAATTATTATTTTAATTATGGGCCGCAAGTGAAGTCGAGGGTGGAAAATCGAGGCAAGCGAAAATTCGATACATTTATGAACGACTGGGAGGGCAGTGTGACAGATCATAAATACAGCGATTTGAGTGATGTGTTTGTGCAACAATAAACTAAACGAAATATATTCGCTTTATACGATTGCCATTCCTTGGGGGGGAGAGAGTGGGAAAATGGCGTCTAATCAAGTGGCATAATCAGTTTTTATGGGTACCAAGGCAATCATAACTTTTTCACATACATTCTATATACGGATATAACCCGTATATCGAGTTGAGTTTTATTTTCGCACGTTGATAATTTTTATTTCCTGCTGCTCTTCCGACAGATAACTTGGTCTGCGTCCTGTCCTGTGCAAATAAAATACATTTTGCTGCGCTTTTATTTCCCATCAAGAAGTCGCACACAAAGTTCGGTTCGTCCTTGCTCCCCCATTGTAATAATCATTTATTTAATGTGCCAAACATTTATTATTTCCGCTGACCGACGGAGGACGAAGTCTTAGCTCTGTCTGTGTCTGTTTCTGTGTCTGTGTGTGGGAGTCCTGGGAATGGTCAAAGTTAGATTGGACACTTGCGCCATTTTCGCCTAATGAATCTAATTGAGTCTAACAAGTGGCCAAGGCACATCATGTTAATGCTAATGTTGTCGCCTCCCCAATCTATGTGACCTTCATGTTCTCGGTTGGGTCTTTAAGATGGGCTTATGTTTGTTGGGAAAGGAAGAAAAAGGTCTACGATTCGCGTGGTAATTAGTGCAATTATACAGAAGGGACCTTAAATGAACTGCTGTATCACAAGTGATATTAGGTATAAGGATTGCTGATATTTAAGCTCTTAACTTTAATGGGAATGTTGAAAATTTGTATAATTGCTGAATACATTTTTTAACTTAGAAAAAAATATACAGTTTTGAAGATTAATATATTTTTAATCAGTAATTAAATCTACAACATCTTTCCAATACTTCAAGCTTAAAGATCATTGTCTTAAATTACATTTAAATCTGCTTCCCCAAATAATAATTACAAGCTCTGAATTCATAAATTCCTCAATAAATTCCAATAATTTTTAAGAAAAATTACAAGCTGCCATCGAAAATAACCCCCAAAGCTAAAGCTGAGCAGTAAAAACTGGCAGGACTCAAACAAATAAAGCCAATAGCAAAATGTTAAACGAAAAATATTTCCAACTCATTGATTGCCCTACTCCACGACCTGAATATCCTCTCTGTTTGCATATTTGTGTGATCAAAAAGCAGCTAAAACAGAACAAAAAAAAAAAACACACTGAACAACAGAATGTGCCATTGGGTGGGTGAGTGTGTATACTGTACAGTATGCCCTCGGTGCTCAGTCTATGATATAATGAACGCTTGAATGATTGCATACTTTCGGTTGCTTGCCATTTAACATTTTCATTGCCATAACTTGTGTTGTGTTTCCTCGTTTCTTTTTTTTGTATTTCGTATATGAAAAAATACCGAAATCGGTTAATGTTTATTGAAAAAGCATAAAATTCGTTCTACCAGAATGGAAAATATGCTTTTGATACAATTATTGTTCCTATCTGCAGGCGCCGGGTCTGAAAACGCACCCCAAACCTAGGAACTGAATCCTCACCCTCTTATGAAGCCAGTTTGAAATTTTTTCAATGCACTTTCTGGGGGTATTTCAGAGATTTTAAGGTCTTAAAATCTTAAATACAAATGTTCCTAAATAATATGTAAGATTAGTATAAGTAAAGTAGGGCTGTCATCCATTTCTTATTTTATAAAAGGAAATTATAAAACATTAACTTACAAGGCTTTATCACAGCTCACAACTTAGCTCGCCTCTAAATAGTATTTAAAAGCCTTAAAAACTGTATTAAAAAGTATATTTATCAACCCGTAAGAGTGTCTAAGCTTCGACTTTCCAATTTTGTCTAGGCTTTCCCGTTTTAAATTTGTTTTATATTTTCTGTGCTCTTTTTTTCGTTTGAGTTCATTTTGCCCCCCGGCTTGCTGTTCTTTTTCTGGCTGCGACCCCGAGGGCCTGCAGTTATATGGGTCGCTTGACGTTGATAACAATCCAGGATAATATGCGGCAGCCAAAGAGATGAATCCCGAATCCTGATGCGGCTCTAGGAATCGGCTTTGGCCTTGGGTTTTCTTTTTTTGGCAAAAGCGGAAAGCAATTTCATGGCCATGAGGTGGAACAATATTCAAACCGAATGGGGATGTATGATTTTAGAAAGGAGAGCTTTTTAGTTTTTTTTATTTATTTTATTAGCGTATGGAAAGTATGTTAGGAAATATAATATATACAATATATGATAATTATTAATACTTTTATTTAGAAGAGGTGGTTTTTAGAAAAATGGTTGCTTAGTACAATTTATTTACAGAATTATAGTGGAAAGAACTAAAATTTATAGAAGTTATAGAAGAAGTAAAATATTATTTACAATTATAAATGGGTATAAAATGTTCACTATTTGAAAGGGTTAAATTTGTAAATATATAAAAATAGATTTCTATATTTTTATTAATATATTTTTGTTAAGCTACTTTTTTTCTAAAACTACGAAACACAAATTATATAATGACTATAAAATATATTTAAATAAGTAAATATTTTTATGGGGATTTATATTACATTATACATATTTGATAAACAAAGAAACCTCTTAATAACTAAATTAAACCTCTAGCAATATTCAAAGAATGTAATGACATTTTCCAAAGTATATTTCCATTTCCCTTAAATCTTAATCACGTTCAATCTTATCAGATTAACCCTTTACAAAAATTACAGCACATTTTGATTACAATTTTGATGAATTTTAAACATCAGAAAAGTTATATTTGACAGCAACAAAGATGGGTAAAATTACATCGCTTTGATATTCAAATGCTTTCTCTGTTGTAAACTTTCATTTGCCTTTAACCGCCACTCATTTCACAATTTTCACATTTATGCATTATTCAAAAGTGCTGTCCTCGGTCCTTGGTCAGCGAAGGGTTAAGGGAGGACGAAGGACACACTCACGGAACATATTTGATATTTCATGCCCAAATAAATGCAATGAAAATTCATCAATTGACTCGACTCGCCAACTCGTCAACGCCTCAGTTGGCATCGACACTGTGTTGTATCCCCCATTTGCATATAAATTGCTTTTGACATCGTTTGTTTGCCGAAACACTTTTTCCATCGTCCTCCACCCTGTCCACTTATAATTTCCCAAAAAAATATATATGTATTTTCTCATCGCCAGCCATGTCAAGTGCTTATCAGCCTGTTGGCAACTGTCCGGAAAAGCAATTGCATAGCTCTCAGCCTCACTTTTTTAATTGCCACAATTTGCGCTTAAACGTTTTGCCATTTCAACTCACAGCCTGCAGCTTTGGCAAGAAATACAAAATAAAAGCAGGGAAAATAATATATAAACAAGCGACACCCATGGTGACAATTATATAGAGCAGATCCAGGTTGGGGTTTCAAAAAAAATGGAGCCCTGCATTGGGAAGTACTACTGCCCCCGGGGCAGCAATGGCAGGCTTACAACTTGGCCCATTAGAGCCACGCGCCTTGTCTGCGGAGTCTCTCGCGGAATTGGGGGTCGCATCGGTGGGCGGGAATGTCAACTTAAATGCCAACAATAATAATGTAGGGGAGGGACTTGATTAGGCATATGATCGAGCCGAAGAATGGTTACTCTGCGCGGAGTGAAAGTGCTGGAAAAAGGATAATGGT